ATCTATCTATCTATCTATCTATCTATCTATCTATCTATCTATCTATCTATCTATCTATCTATCTATCTATCTATCTATCTATCTATCTATCTATCTATCTATCTATCTATCTATCTATCTATCTATCTACTTTATGGCACAATAAAAAATAGTTTGAAATATAAATAAAATATGTATTTTTGAGTGGGCAGTCTTTTTTCATTGCTTCCTCTCTAGAACATAAGTTATATAATTTTGGCATACATCGTTTTGGCGTAACTTAAGACTGCAGCTGTGATCTATAATTTCTCTTATTTAATTGTTTAGACTGCAAAATAATACAAATGGAAGTCTGTTTCTAAGTCTTCTAATTATATTATGTGGGTTGCTTGATAAAAAGCATAATAAGCAATTCACATTGAGTTTAAGTTTCCTAAATTGTTTTCTCGTTGATAATTAGTCAGTGACCCACTGTTTTAGTACTGGTGCATGTAAACTGTCATGTACACTGAGTTAATACTTTTATAAATGTTCTAATTGCCAGAATGTCAGGGAATAATTGGAAAAAAAGGTTCCAGAGGCTGAAAGGGAACAAAAATAAGTAAAATTTTAGTCAACCAAAGAAGATGCTTCATAGGTTAGGTAAAAAGTCATTCGTTGTTGGTGATCAAAACAATTTTTTAATTACTTTTCATTTTTTAATGCTTTTATTTGATTGTCTATTGTTGTCTGCACCTCATCTGTGTTCTCTGCTTATATCAGGTCTCTCTTAAAACAGTCCTCGAGGCTCAATGAGACTGACCTGTATAAATAAATGTTGAATCAGAAAGAAAATAAAACTTTAAAAAAAGAACTCAGTGGCACACTGATAAAGAACGTGTGTGTGTGTTTGTTATATTTGTTACATTGTAAGTCCCATTTTTCCAACACATACTATATTGTGAGGACCTTCTTCTTATGGGGCCCATGGCCCTGACCCCATAAGAAGTGTTGTTGGTGGATTAAGGGTTAGGTTTAGGACTAGGTGTGAACTGAGGATGCGTTAGGTATGTACTGGTAATGGTTAGGCTTAGGCTTAGGTCTGTACTGGTAATGGCTAGGTATAGGGTTGGGTATGTACTGGTAATGGTTAGGTTTAGGGTTGGGGATGTACTGGTAATGGTTAGGTTTAGGGTTGCGTATGTACTGGTAATGGTTAGGTTTAGGGTAAGGGTCAGGGTTAGGCTACAGAAATGAATAAAAAATGAATGGAAGTCAATGCAAAGTCCCTGTAAAGATAGGACGACATGTGTGGGGGTGAGAGAGAGATAGAGAGAGAAAAAGAGAGAGAGAGATAATAACAATCAGGCTTGGGCTTGTATAACTTTGTAGAACTGGCTGCATGTATAAAATGCTACACTAAAGATAATGAGCAAACTCCCTAAACTGTTATAGCTTTAAAAAATTTCCTTGTTGAGCATCTGTGTTTATGCAATAACTCTGCTTTAAAAGCATCTGTGAGTCCTGATCAACTTTGTGAATCAATTGTGTTAATTGTTGATAACATTTAAGGTGAATCTACGGTTAATCTCAACATTTATTTCCTTGATCTTCACTCTAACAAATATGCCTGTCTTATCAGCAGTCATGCCTGCAATGTTACCTTAACAATCTGTTTTCTCTCTCGTTATGGTAATTTCAGACTATAAACTGGCAACAGCGTCTTACTGAACAGCTCGTTATCCTTGAAATGTGTCACTCGTTCTCTTTTTAAACTTGTGTGTATTTTCATTACTGATCACATATACAGCATACTATTTATCTTTAAAAATCACTGTGATTATTCTTGTTTATATGGTTCAGTTGTCTGTGTAAAACGATCTCATCACTCAGTTCAGACTCCATTCTTGTCTCCATCCTATATTCACATTTAGTCATCCACAAGGAAATGTTTTGTCAAAGAAATCAAGATCTAATAAATTTTCCATTTACATCTACTACAGTCATTTCCATCTACAGGCACATTACCTTCAAAATTGCTTCAAGCCTTTTTTATTGTAGTCACAAATTTTGTCCTTGTGGGGAGATTTGGAGGTTTTCTGCAGCTCGTCAGCAAAGCAAAGTGGCTCATTGTGAAGGTTGTGGCTATAACAAGTGTGCATGTGCATGTGCTCGATTTCATTTAGTCAACAAACAGATGAGGAGGAGGCAAAACCTGCTGGTTTGTAATGTGTCACTGTCGAACCCCTACCCACTCAAACACATATGCTCACGCACAAACACACATGCAGCCAGACAGGCCCAATGTGACCCCTGGTGCCCCAACGGCGAGCGAGACGTCGGCTATCTGACAGCTTGTCAGCAGGTCCTGATAAACTCAGCCTCTAACTCTTCACCAAGGTTGTTCTATCTCCGGCTGACCGGCAAGACCTTTCCACACGTGTGACCACGTGACTTCACCTTTCCACTCATTTTCCCTGCTTAGCTCTGTTGTGGCTTGTAAATGAGCCCAGCCAACACAGATTAGCACTTTTTTTAAAATTAAATTAACACTTCACATCCTACATGAACTTAGCCATTTGCACCGCTTGGGGTGGCTGCACATTGTAGTAGCTCTGTCATTTTCATTTTGAGATATTGCCTTTGGAAACTTTAGTTCCTCTTTTTCTGGTTGTAAATCGTTTTCTTTTCAGATGATTGTTTCCTCTGGTATCTGATGATGTGCAGCTGGAAGGATTTTTCCTGAAACTTTTTTACTTTTGGACATTTGTTATGACAATTTTTTTTTTTTTTTACAACTGGGAGCAGCTGACTAACATCTCAAAGGTCAAATAAAACCTCAACTACAGCCCCAAATCCCAAATGAGTTGAAAAGGAGGTCCTGTGGATGCTTCCCATCTACCTCCTGGCTGTGTTCAAATGCTTGACCACTGAGATCCTGGAACTAGCAGGAAACACGGCTTGTGACAGCAGAAGGACCAGGATCATCCCCCGGCACAGCAGCCAGCTGTCTGCAGTGACGAGGATCTTGGCCATGCTGCTGGGAGGAGTGGCCATCACTCTGGGAAGAGTTCTGCCCGTCATTCAGGCAGTCCTGCAGCTCGGGGGAACCAAGAAGCTAGCTGAGTCTGGGTGGACGGATCAGACGGCATCTGCGGCCAATTTCTTCAGATCCGCTGTGGGATGGACCTTTATAAAAGATCCTTCCTGCCTACAGCCATCAGTATCTATAACATCTCTTAATGAAATGAGGATAATTACAACATTTAATTTCCCTTTGGGATTAATAAAGTATTTTTGAATTGAATTTGAATTGAATTTATAGTGGTCTAATCAAACTAATCTGTTTATCTTTATTTATGTTTCATTTTAGAAATCTTCCTCTTTGTAGTGGTCTTTAAGTAAAATTCAATACCTAAAGAAATTAGCTAACAAAAGTCCAGAATATATACGTTTACAAATAAATTTCTTTTTAGTGACAACCATGATATATTGCTCTTTTCAGGCTTTTAAACCTCTGTGGGCTGGCAGAGGGAAATCACAAGTCAGACACAGGAATTACTGCTTAAAACATATATCCCCTAAAATGAATGATTGTCAATGTGGGGAATACTTCACTGCCTAAAAGAGAATGACGTTATGACAAAGCAAACAGATTTAGGTGCACACTACATGAATTATACTTTGTACACAGACAGCCAATCACACACATTTATGCACACCCAGTCACCTCTAACAGGAAGCAGAATTAGGCTGTCAGTCAAAAAGACAACCTTAAAAAAAGCACTGAGGCCTGGAAGAGCTATTCATGAATAAAAACAGCGGGCACAAACACCCCCCCCCCCCCACACACACACAGAAACCCAAACAGGACAAAGTTTGCCAAAATGTAGATGGTATAACTTTCTCAAAACCAACTATTGTCTGGCTTAAATACAAGCTTTAGATACTGTGGTGCTTGAAAGTTTGCCGTCTTTAGAATTTTCAATATTTCTGTATAAATGACCTAAAACATCACCAGATTTTCACACAAGTCCTTAAAGTGGATAAAGAGAATTAAGTTAAACAGAGACAAACATATCATACTTGGTCATTTACTTATTGAGGAAAATGATTCACTATTACATATTTGTAAGTGGCAAACGTATAGTTATAGTGTGTAAACATATAAATTAAGGTCATATTTATTCAGATATATAGAAAATTCTAAAAGGTTCACAAACTTTCAAGCACCAGTGTCTATGTGTTGATAATGAAAGCACATATGGTTTCAAAGTGAGTCTAGCTAAACTTTTCTTTACAATATTTCTTTTTGTTGTTTCTTGCTATTGTGTGTTTTCCATGGCTTTGCTATTCACATGGATGCAAGTTTATTTTCCGTGTGAACTAATAAATATCTCTTTGCATCTGTCTTTTTTTCCAAATCATTTTGCAGGAGATGTTCACACCAGAATGCAGGTTTAAGGAGTCCGTTTTTGAAAACTATTATGTGATCTACTCGTCCACTGTGTACCGGCAGCAGGAGTCGGGTCGAGCCTGGTTCCTTGGTCTCACAAAGGAGGGACAAGTCATGAAGGGCAATCGGGTCAAAAAGACAAAGCCCTCATCACATTTTGTGCCCAGGCCTATTGAAGGTGTGAAAAACATTCTTTTAAAAGTGAAATTTTAACTCTAAACCATGTCATTAGATTGAAATAGAAAAGTAAAGAATAACGAGTGAGAAGGAAGTATAATATGATCATAGAAAATGTACAAGAGTTATGATTAACTAGCGTTTTGTCTGTAAACTAATCCCTCATAACAATTTCAGCATTACAAAAAAATAAACCTTGAATGGTTATTAGAAAATAAAAAAAACTGTCTGGATTTTATATCACAAATTCATTTATTTTATCACTCATTTTATGATCTTTACAAAAACAGAATATAGTCTTTTCTCCACTCCCTTTGAAAAACACGGTGGAAGCAGAATCATGATATGGGCCTGAACTTAAGAGCTAAAGGAGGCCTTGTGACGTAACAATTATCACAAAACTTTACAAGCAAATTCTTCGTAAAGATGTCATTACGTTTGCCTCTCTGGGAACAGGTGATACAGACACGGAAACTAAACAAAACTAAACTAAACTTCCAAAAAGAAAAGGAATTAATTTATTATTTTACAATGACCTAGTGTAACCCCAGAGCCAGTCAGGAAAATCAAAAAGGAACCAGATGTGAGCAAAATGCACCAACAAATATTGAAATATAACAACAACTCAACTAAATCACAGGACATTTTATTTTATTAGTTACAAATACCCAGAATATTTTAATCACTTGTTTGACTGTAAGGAAAGCTGATCATTTTATTTGACAATGATATATTATTAAAAATAGGGGGAGTGGTGGTGCAGAGGTTAGAGAAGGTGGACCTGTGATTGAAAGGTTGCCAGTTTAACCCCCTGAACTAACAATATCAAAATGTAGGTGGGAAAGGTGAAGCACCCACACCTGCCTCCACCAGCCTTTGCCCCATTCTGGGCCATTGAACAAGGCTTTTAACCGCCACCATCTGCTCCCCTGGGTGCCCTAGATAGCAGTTTTCTGCTCCACTCAGAGGGCTGTGGTAGCTCGATGGTCTGTGGTTGCGTCAGGAAGGACATCTAGTGTAAAAGTAATTGTCAAGTCTTCGTGCAAGTTAGTTCGCTGTGGCAACCCCTGAAGACGGGAGTGATGGAGATGTGAAAGGTCACAGATGTTTTTCTCTTACTAAAGTCAAATTTTATAACTCATATTACCATGTGTGTGTGTTAAAGAGTTGTTTTTGTCTGGATCAGAATGCTGCATAAGCATGGAGCCTTTCAGCCAAATAAGCAAGGAGGCTGCAAGAGTTGTCTGACCTTGCCTTAGTCTGATAAACATTATGAAAATACACTTCCTCATGCTCTCTTTGAGCAGATTTTGAGACGGAGCGTCATGTGACATTTTGATGCTTGTATTTCAACTCTGCTTCATCTTGCAAGATTAAACCTGGGATTAAGAAAATTATCTACCTCTACTGTGTGGCATATTTATTTAAAGAGCTATTGAAAGGATAATATTAAATTATCCTAACAGGGAGCAGCGGAAGGAAGAAAAATAATTATTAAAAATAGTTTAAACTTAACGTCAAACGTTGGATATATTTCTAATAACTGTGTATTTTGGAGCACTACTTCAATACTCATTTTATTTAATTTCATTGATGTTGAACTTATCTGAACTTTGGCAAGCTTTCATTCACAACTTCTGTTTATTAAGCCAAGACAAATGTTTTAAAGCTCCTAACTGCTGTGGGTACATTTGAAGGAGAAGCTCATGTCACTATCAAGTGCCACCTTTTTGAAACCGGTAGATATTTGCTCCAGACAGAGACCTCTTTATAATCTTTTTTCATGTTATATAAAATGAAAAGAAATCAGGTTTTGATATTTAATAATAACTGTCTCGCGGAAGTGTTTCTATTAAAGGATCTGTCTTATCTTGAAAACTTGTCAAGCAATGTAATTAAAAAAAAGTGCTGACACAATCCTAATTCCCTTGTCCCAGCCCGGTGCGACCGTCCCAGCCTCCCACCTGACCTTGTGTTTGTCTGCATACCCATCTCTTCAATCTGCTCTCTACTGTCCCGTCTCTGACTGACTCCTATCTTTGTCCTTTTCTCCCCTTCCCTTTGTTCGCATCACTTCCACAGTCTGTATGTACAGGGAGCCGTCGATGCACGAGATAGAGGACAAACACCGCTCCAGGAAGAGCTCAGGGACTCCCACCATGAATGGAGGCAAAGCTGTCAACCAGAACTCCACATAGCACCAGGGAGACGGGCTTCCAGCGGGGGGGGACGTGGCCTCATCCTGACTCAGGGGAAGAGGCCAACAGGAAAATTAACACCCTTCTTCAAAACTACAAAACCATCACACCTTCTCAAACAAAGGTGTGAGGACGAAAACGAGGAGCGGTCACTGTACAAGACGACACAAACCGAACTCTTGCTTGTGAAAACATTTTAGATGAATTAAGATGAAACCTGAGAAAATATATACTTGACCAAAATTTTATGCAAAACAGAAAACAGGCTGTTAAACAAACGAAGGAAAGGTGATCTCTCTTCACACAATATGGTTTTTCCAATTTATGCTGTGAAAAACAAGCTTTAACACATGTTTAGTTTTCATACAATGACTTTTCTTTGTCTATATGCTACTGCTCTCTTATATGCTTTACTGTGTTAATGTCGTCAACAATATTTATGCCATTATCATTATGCCTATCATAACTAATCTGAAGAGTGCCATCTAAGTTTTTATTATGGCAATCCTGGCTCAACCTTCAAAAAAAAAAATTATTTATTATTATTTCTTCCTGTTAAATTTGTTTTCTCTTACAGTTTGTACATGAATGTAATGACACATCTGCTAAGGTGTGAGGGTCAAACTGAACGTTCTCTGTGTTGGACTGCAGGTGGTGGGATGTAATTTACTCAGGTGTGTACCGTAAGTCAATATAATGTGACTAATAGGGAGCTATTCCTGTGTTGTTCTTCTGTAGCAGGACAAACGTGCATTGTGCAATATAACAGAGGGAAACCTAGGATGTCTCTAAACAATAGCAAAGCTGACAATATTATGCAGTAATTGGTGTGGTTGTCTGTAGATGAAACTGGCAAAGGAAGTTGGAAAAGTAGGCAAAGGTAAGAATAGGGGACAGTTTGTTTAGTTTCAGAATGATCGCAAATCCTGTTCGACTTAAAACGTTGAAATATATACTCGTCGACATGATAAAAGTAGGATTCTTTTCAACAGTTATGACCAGCATCAGTACTTGGAGCCATTACTAAAAATATTCACTTTACATTTGCATCTCAAAAGACAGAATCCCTGTTTCTCTGCTGTTGGCTGTAACAACTCTCAATACACATCAGTATCCATGCTTGTAGATGGAAGTATGAATAACACATTGCTCTGCTTTGAATGCAAAAGAAACAAAAAACAATTGTTCAATATGGTTGAATTGATGAATATTACCAAAATTAAAGTTCCATCTTGTGTATCATTTTGATCATAAAATCATTAGAGATGTTTAAACACTGGGGGACAGGGTGCCTGACTGTTTATAAAACCACTGACCTGACATGTTGATATTAACATCATACATAAGGTCATAATCATTACTGCTTTTTCATCATGGCAAAAGCAGAATGTTTCAAGTTTATCTGGATTTAGTCAGCTTTGAGACTGATGTAAGGTTAATTGTTTCCTGAAATGGTTACATGTACAATCTTCATATCACTAAGATTTTGTAACTCATGGAATGAGCCATTTGCTGTACTGTAATGTGGAGAACAGCTTGTTTTATTTTTTCACAAATCAACATACTTCTTACAGGGCTGTTAAGATGAATTGACTGGTGCACCTTTTGTGCTGTGTACATTCTAGTCCCCATTTAGTTGATCTAACTCAGGAAGTCCCACAGTCGTTCAATGAATGGGACCCAGATATAAAAAGATGGCCGCCAATGGTCCAGCACTCATTGCACAAAGCCTGGTGTTTGGAGCAGTTGATAAACAGCTGAACTAATCCATGTTAGGCTGGGAGGGGAAACAGGCAAGACAAAGCATGACCATCGCATGACTGTAAACGTTGATGTTAGTTTGTTTCAAGTAAAATCTAATAAAAAAAAAATAATATTTTGAATTTGAGGAATACAACTCCAAAACTTTTATATGCAACATTTTGATCAGTATTTTAGCAAAAGTTTATAAATATCTCATAATGTATATGTGGTTGAAAATCATTTGCTAGGTTGGTGGTATGTACAGTTAATAGCACACATTCAGCTGCACATACAGCAGGCATTTATCATCAGGGAGCTGGGAGGGTCTTCCACCTGGAATCTAGGCCCACGGATATGTTACCTGCAAGAGCTAATGGTAGATTAGTTCAATTTCCACATCACATACAGTACTGCATTACTGTGATACATGCATTAATATTAAACGTGACAGTTAACATCAACAGGCAAACCAGCATATAAGTACCTTTTTACAGAAGTTTATATTGGTGCAAATGGGATATGTGTGAATTTATTGCAATGCATGAAAATGGATATGTCCATTGTTAACGAAGGGCAGACTGAAAGGGTTTAGGGAATGAATGATGGACTAGAGTGATGACAATAATTCAAATGACGAACCAAGAAAGCAAAGCACTTTTTTGTAGGTTTATTGATGTATGATAGGGTGAGCAAAGGTTTTAGGTGTCTGGTATATTGGTTATGATTTAATATATTTTTTGTTTGCAGACAATTCCACTGCATTCAAACACACTCATATATGCATTATGAATTGTGAGATGACAAAAATATGCATTGATTATAAAATCCAGAATGAAGATAGTGATTGTTTAAGAATAAAGACTATGTTATCAAAACTTTCACTTTTGCTGTGCATTGTTGATTATGGTTGACTGTGCTTCTTGTTAAAGGGGATAAAGTAAGCCTTCTTTTCCTGGTTTTACACCATCTCCTTTTTTTATCCTTTGACACCTCAATCAAAGACCAAATGGGTAAAGGGTAAAATAATTTGCAATGAATTTAATACATCATACAAAAGATAATACATTATCAGTTGTGAACAACTGCTTTAACAAATATAGACTCAACATGTCCATATCTGGCATCTAACTACCGGTAGTAATGTTTTTAGGCTTGTCAAAGGATAGTGATGATAAAACTGAATGGCATTTATTAGATTAAATCAAAGTATACATAATATAAACTTGATATAAAATAAATCAATAAAATAGTTGTTGATAGAAAATATAAGCATTTTGTAACTATTTTTTTTTCTCTTTAAACAAAATAGACAATGAACCATATTGAAATACATCAGACTACACATTGCAATGGTTGTTGTGACAAATAAATAGTTTTAAAGGAGAAAATACTTTTTCCCCCCAAGCAACTCACACTCATGTACGGGGTATGGTTAACATGTGTCCTTAATTGAACAAACCTGATTCAAATAAGTAATTACCTCCATGACATGTAAGATTAGAAGATGAAATCAGCCATTAACGTACATCAGATGTGATGAAGCAGGACTGGAACTGAAAACTCATTCAAATTGTGACTCTAGAAAATTTCAGTTAGAAGAGCTTGAAAGTCCTCTTACTTCGTTTTTTCTTAAAACATTTACATGGATCAAAAAAGATGGGTGGAGGAAGGGATAATTTACTACTACAATCAAAATTAAACTCCACTCCAAAGAATGTTAAACAACAGAAGGAGGAATAAAAATATATATTCTGTTCCATCAGAGCACGGTGGCGCAACTGGTAGAGCTGCTGCCTCTCAGCGAGCAGGTCCTTGGTTCAAACCCCGGTCCAGGGGCCTTTCTGGGTGGAGTTTGCATGTTCTCTCCGTGCATGCGTGGGTTTTCTCCGGGTACTCCGGTTTCCTCCCACAGACCAAAAACATGCATGTTAGGCTGATTGGTAACTCTAAATTGTCCCTAGGTGTGAGTGAGAAAGTGAATGGTTGTTTGTCTCGTTTGTCTCTATGTGGCCCTGTGATGGACTTGCGACCCGTCCAGGGTGTACCCCGCCCCTCGCACAGTGATTGCTGGACATGGGCACCGGTGACCCCCGTGACCCAAAATGGAATAAGCGGGTAAAGATAATGGATGGATGTTCCATCAGACCCATAGTCATGCATTTTTTTACAATTATCATATAAAGCATGAGTTATTATTATAATTTATGTTATCCTCAAAGAGCAGCAAGCAAATTAACCTTGCTGTTTCTTGATCCTCCACCAAAATAAATTCACCTGAGCTTTTAACAAAGTCAGTGCTGCAGTACAAAAGTCAAATAAACCTCAAGAAACAAATGTAAATGATCTACTTATTACCTCTTCATTTTAATTAAGAGATCAGACAAAACCTACATTTCTAATCAAGACCGAACCAACTTATAAATGCTAATGCTTTTTGAATTATTTTGCCTTCAGCTAGAGTTTAGCTAACAAATGGTAGTAAGTCTGTTTGAATTTTCCTAAATAGTTGTCATACACAGGTATCAGTCATTACCAGCAGCTTACCAGTGTGGCTACTTGTAGATCAATGGTTATTTAAAAAAAAAAACAAAGGACCTAATGCAAACTATGCATTAAAAGTACTTATGCTTTTGTCATGTTGGAGGTGAGATATTAGGATTTGATTTTTTTTTTTTGTTGACAATTTTGCTTTAAAATACATAGTTGGTAGTATAGATAAGCAAAAATAGTGCTGTGCTTGTCCTCGAAAGGATAGAATTATACATTTTTTGACTTAAATTCCAATTTCTGACTAACTTTTTACTATCTGAAAAAAACAACAGGCTGCAGTATTAAGCCTAACAAACCACAAGAAGCACAGAAAAGGAAAATGAGACTAAATGTCCAAACAAAACAAATCGTGACCCGCAGTTTAATTTTCAAACACTCAAACTTTTCTTGTCTGCAGTCCAGCCAAGGACAAAAGATGCAAATCCATCTTATGTCCCAAATTAAATTAAAAAAAGTGCACTTACCTATCTCACTTTTGAAAATACAACAACATCCTACCACATTTAGATTATCATAAGCGAACAGCTGAACAAGAAACACCAAGACTCCATACATCCTTCTCTATTTGTGCATCTTTATTGCTCTTATGCACATTTTTTTTAACTTATTTGAAATATTCTGTTTTTGTGCCTATCAAAGACTTTAATACCACAGTCAGCATAAAAGAAGTGACAGCATCTTTTCACAATATTTTGTTGTTTTAAAAATATCATCCTTGCACCAAAAGAAAAAAACAAAACAAAACATGAGAACGCAAAGCAAATCCATCACTGTGAGTTTCATATGCTTTACAAATTAAGGAAATCCAATCTGTTACTTCTATCTTTCACCAGGAGTGATTTATCTTCTCACTGAGCTTTAAATCCATGTCATTTTGGGATGGGGCTCCTTCCCCCTTAATACTCTGTTGTCATGGAAACAGACCTTAGTGCCTTCTGCAATGAGAACACAGCAGGAAAAGGAAGATGAAGTCTCCCCTCAC